GGGGTTTGGTTCCCAGTCGGGGCACATGCCCGGGTTCCGGGCTCGATCTCCAGTAGGGGGCGGGCAGGAGGCAGTTGGTCAATGTTTCTCTCTCTCCCTTCCTCTCTCTGGAATCGATAAAAGCATATTTTTAAAAATAAATAAAAGTAAAACTGTGTTCATTCTATGCAGATTGGAAAGGGCAAGTTAGCAAAACAAAACCAGAAGTACCCACAGACCCCGTGGAGGTTATCGTTTCTGGTGTGGCCTGTGCGCGGAATCATGTTGCTTTATAACTTAGCGTCAAAAGTAGCGCCAGTGAGGGGGTTTCCACGGCAGCAAATATAGGGTGTCTCCAAAAAACGTGTGCACTTCAGCAGCCGAGAGCTCAATCTTGAAGTGCATTTTAGTCAACGTGGCCTTTATAACCATTCAGAGTGCGCACACACCTTGGGGGGACGCCCTGCGCTTACAGCTGGCCCCGAGGGACGGTCCGGGGCTCGCCCTCCCGCAGGCCCTCTCTGGGACCCGGGGCCTCTCCCCTGTGCTGGTGGCAGCCCCGTCTTTTCCTCTCAACGCTTTGTGCCTACTTTCTGGGTCCCGCTTAGAAAGGCCTCTCTGGTCCAGGATCTTATAACAATGTTCCTTTTATTTCCTTCTGGTACATTTCCCCCATTTAAATTCTTGATCCCATCTGGAATTTATTTTAGTGTCTGGTATGAGGAAAAAGTCTAATTTTTGCCCCCGAATGATCAACCACGTGTCCCAACACCACGGGGGTGTATAATTCACAATTTACGACCTACAGTATTCTCACGGACACCCTTGCTTGCTGCTGGGCTCTCCCAGGCTCCGGGCCCACCCGCTGCCCCTGAACCCTCTGCCCACATCGCACCAGCCTCTGGGGCGACGCGAGGGTGACCCACCAGCCTGGCGTGTCCAGGACTCTCCGGGTTTAACTTCGTGGCCACCTGGCTCGGCCAGATGCTCTGAGACGCTGACAGGGACCAGGAGCTCAGCCATGCATTCCACAGGCACGTGGCACTGTGGGTGCCGCTCCGTGGGTGGCGCATGGGGGCTTCTGCAGCCGCGTGCCTGGGCCCCCCTCACCTCGCTCACAGCCTTCCTGAGCATCCGGGTCTCCTCGGCCTGGGCACAGGACTGAGCCTCAAACAGGGCAATCTGTTCCTCCAGCTGGTTGGCTTGGGTGGTGAGCCGGTCCACGTGTAGGTCCTGGGAGAGGGGACCACGCGAGCGGGTGACCCGAGGCCGGCCGCGGCCCCTCGGGGCTGTGGCGCTCACGCAGCAGAGCGCCTTGGGGAAGCCGGAGGTTTGGGGGGGCCGGTGCCTCGGATCCGCGGGGTACCTGCTGCTTCTTGCCCAGCTCGGCCCGCACCCGCTCCGCTTCCGCCTTCTTCACGACCTGCCTCATCACGCGGATGTCGTCCCGCACATTCTCGTCCACGTTCTGCATGTAGAACAGGTGCAGGGCCAGCGTCTCCATCTCCGCCTGCAGGGCAGCCACTGCAGAGAGAGCCAGGCCGCCCGCAGCGCTCAGGGCGCCGGTCTGAGGGGGTCCCCCCGAGCCCGGCGGCTGC